CTCAAAAACTGGACCAATGGGAGACGTTTGTTCTATTCGAGCTCAACATACCATGATACAGGCAACACCACAGCCTTGCCCAGCAATTGCTCCCAAAGGTTAGAAACCGTTCTATCAATTCCACCTCCACCACCAGCTACCCTTCCCCCTACGAATTCAACCTGCAATTCCGCCACCACCACCATCTACCCTTCTCCCTGCGATGCGAATTGATTGCCCCAACTATTATTCAACCCGCCTAAATTTTCACACCAAACAAAGAAAAAAATAGAGGCGAAATCGAACCCAACAACTATGACATGGAATAGCAAGCAAATAATCAAAGATTATCACAACCAAAGAATCAAAACCTTGATTTGAAGATTATTAACGTTGATTCAAACTGCCCGTCGTGAAGCCTTCGATTCGGCTAAACNAAAACGATGTTTTAGTCATTTTGTGTTTCTAGTGTTTTTTTTTTTTTTCATTTTCAAAAACGCGTTTTCGAAAATAAGATAGAGAACACGTTTTTGCTACTTTGAAAAATTAAAAATAGAAAAAGCTTGAAAACAAGAAAGAGAATATGGCATAAATATCTTGAAAGTTAAAAACGCTTGGGTTGTGGCAGTGATTGGATTTAAGCAAAACAAAGAAAGAGCAGCCATGGCGAACAGCGAAGAATCACTGTGTAAGGCCGCCTGCGAAGGCGATGTTGAGAAAGTAAAATCACTTATCGACTCAGGTGCTGACGTCACTTACTTCGACAAAGAGGGACTAACTCCGCTGATGCACGCCGCCAACCACGGCCACGCCCAGGTTATTAAAGCTCTTCTTGACGCCGGAGCTCCGTGGAACTCCCTCTCCCCTTCCAACCTCTCCGCCGGTGACTTCGCTATGGAAAATGGGCATCAAGCTGCTTTTGACCTCCTCCTTAACACGGGTATATATTTATTTAGGTTAAATTTAATCCCTCGTTTCTTTTATATTTTGATTTGCTATAATGTTTTTGAATTCCAGTTGTGCATTTATTACTTCCCATTTTATCTTTTTTTCCCCCTTTTGTTGAGCATTGATGGATGTTTTGATGAATTGATATTGTTGTGGCAAGGTTCTGGGTAGTGTTGTGCAATATGACTTGGGATTTTAAAACTTGATTTAACAGGATAATACTACTAGTGATGTCAATTAAGTGTGAATCGGAGCCATTTTTGCGTTGCTCAATTTTTGTTGGCCGGGAAAGGTCGAATGGCTCATATGGTACTAAACATCCATTAGGGTTGTGCTGTAAAACTCAGCACAGGAAGGAGGAAATAGAGAAGAAAACAGACAGAAATAGATTGAAATTTGGAGCGAAGTTGAAAAATTTAGGAAGACAAATCTCAATTGATTGATACTTCAATAATAATGTCTCAATTGGTCAGTCCTTGAGCTTACTCCTCAATGGTCACCAGTTTGAATCCCCTTCGTGCCACTGAGGTGAGTACCCGGTCGTAAACTTCAAGACCCGTGTAATTAGTCGAGGTACGCGCAAGTTGGTCCGAATATCCACGGTTATAAATAAAAAAAATAATTATAATTCAATAATAATGACTTCTGGTTAGTTGTGAAATGTTGTTTCCTTTTTTAGAACCAAGAACTTAATTTTGAGTCTTTAAGGGAACTTCTAATACATCAGAACTTATCAAAATATAAAATTCCTAGTTAGTTAAAACTGACCAAACTCTATTCTAAAACAATACTTTTTTCCCCATTAAGTTGTCTTCTCTTTATCAATTGTTGTCACGTGGTATTTGATAGCCAGAGGAAATGGATAGTGTTGAAGTTTGTCCATAGTTGAGCCATATGGTGCAAGAAATGTTTGTTTGGCAATGTGATCTTCTTGTTGTACCTTGATTTTGATTTTGGGAAGAAGACAGCTGATAATGCTAATTTGGTGTACAAATTAATTATGATGCACCGACACGAACTCGTGATTTTTTAAAAAAGTATTGACACGACTCGTCGTTGATACAGGGATTAAATTCTATTCTTCATTTATATAGAGCTTGTTTGAGAGTGATTAAAATCGGATTAAAATTGAAAAACTAGCCGTTATTTTTGACTTTTATTAGACGAGTGAGACCCAATAATTGCTATATTTTTAATTTTAATTGGACTAAAATTCCTCCCAAACAAGCTCATAGTATAAACTTAATTTTAAGGAAATTTTTTAAATATGAACACCTATTTATTAATTAATAATAACTTTTGAGTTAAAAATATAAGCTATTTCTGATACAGAAAGAAAACTGACCTGTCCAAGGACACGTGTCAGACACGGATACACCATTATAGTTGAAGTGTCTGTGTAACACAGCAAATTAATAACCCTTTCTACTAATTTGGTATATAAACTAGAACCCTTTTTGGATCACCATTTTGTCCTGAGAAAGGACAACCAGGAAGCACATGTTAGTAAGCATTGTAATGTGCATTGATGCCATGTACTGGCAATAAAATTTCCCTGGCATCATACTTTTCATTGCACGTTGCTTTATGTTTGTAATTGTGCCATACATTACCTTGCTTGGGCATTTCAAACTATTTTTTAGATCACCATTTGATTAGTACTACAGAAGGTACAATTGTCAAGGCCTATCTTATAACACATTTACTTTTTCTCTGTGCTTGGATGCTTGCATCTTGCTCTATTTGTATGAAATGCACTTGGCATTATCATTTGTCACGCATAATGCTTATGTGTTGTAAATTATGCTTTGAACATGCCTTACTCCAGTATTCTCAGATTCATATCTAGGTAGTATGCTTACAATCTTTTCATTGTTTATTTATACTCTATTTTTTACGATAAGAAGGATTTGGTTCTCTAATAGGGATACAAGCAGAATTGATTCTTGGAACAATTGCTAGGAAAGAAAATGCAAAAGGTAATTCTGATGGCGATTATTTGGAAGACCGGGTTAATTTTAGTGAGGATAAGGTGATGGACTCAGAAAGCAAGGCTGTCATGATGGCTTGGGAAAAGCCACTAATGGAAGCTCACGCAAAAGCTATTTGCTCCAAAGGTGGGCACATGTTAAACATTGGCTTTGGAATGGGACTTGTGGACACTGCTATACAGCAATATGCACCCACATCACACACTATTGTTGAAGCTCATCCGGAGGTCTACGATCGTATGCTTCACTCTGGGTGGGGTGAAAAAGAGAATGTGAAGATAATATTTGGTCGCTGGCAGGATGTTCTTTCTGAGCTTGAATCGTTTGATGGTAACTCAAATTTAAATATCAGTGCAATTTCTTTTATTTTTTTTGCATGAATTTGTTTTCTTCTGAAATTCATTCACGTAAAATGTAAAACTGCTAAAGCAGAAAACAATTCCATGTGTCTGGCCCGTTATTTAAAGCTTTTAAGTGGACTTAAGTATAAAAGCAACATCATGTTGATTTTCCATTTATAAGTTCAAGATCCAAGCTCTGGGTGGTCAAAAAACAAAATGTATTCTCATACAATCTCAACTTAATTTGCCAATGGCTATTATGTTTTGTTGTTCGACTTCTGTACCTAATGATGTTTAACAAAGATCACTTTACTAGTTGCTCATTTTACAACATAGTTTGTTCAGAGGGTAATATTGTGAATAATGTCTATCGGTTACTGACCATTCATACTGTATGAGAAGCTCCCTTTGCGTCTCTTGAAATGGAACTGCCTATTGGTTCCTGACCAGTAATAGAGTATGAGAAGCTCCCTCTGTTTCTCTTTATACGGGACTGAAGTGTTTATGCTTAACTGGTTCCTTATTTCAAGTTTGATCGATTTTTGTTTGTCTTACATTTTACATGAGGATCGTGCGGTTTTATAGGTACACTTGCATAAAGGGTAGCACATGTTTATTTCTGACTTTTGATTATTGGATTTGGAAAGAAGTCAAGGCTTCACAAGGAGTATGCAAAACTGGGTGAAATCAAATTAAAACACGATCTCCAACACTCTAATATTTAACGCAACCTCGTCAAGAATATTTTGATTGTCCATGCACCACATGGACATTTAAGAAGAAAGTTTACACTATAATTCAAAAATTGATGATAACTAAATAATTTTTTTTTTTTTGTTCTGAATATTTGTTGCTCTGTTTATGTAAACAGAGAAACATTTCAGCTTTAATGAGGAAAACAAAACTTTCCGTAAATAACGGTTCTTTGTGTGCATGGATGCTTCTTTACTTCCTTGATACTCCTTTTTAAGCAATACACGGCACTTCTAATATGACAAATGTCTAGTATTATAGCTCCAAGTTCGAGTCCCCTCAGGGCCACTGAGGTGAGTATCCGGCAGTAAACTTTAGGGCCCCGTGGAATTAGTCGAGGTGCACGCAAGCTGGCCCGGACATCCACGGTTATCAAAAAATAAAAAATAGCTCCAATGTTATGGCATATTGTCGTTGTAAAGGATCTTGTTGCATTGGCCATGTACAAGTAGACCCCAAATTAAATTAATAGTCAATGAGGTTTAGTTTTTTTTTTTTTTTAGTTGCTGCAAAGGAGTGCGTGCTGTTCATGTATGGAGCCTGTATCAGTCATACTTAGCTTTTATCTATTTTATGAAAGCAAGCAAAAGAATGCATCAAAATTAAATATTCTTTTGATATCAAGATCATCTCAAAGAGCTGCATTTACAAATACATCTGTAACTTATCTGGCTATCTGTTAAAAGGGTTTTTTTCTCTTCCAGACAGGCGTCATTTTTATTTTTATTTTTTATTCTTGATGTTTTAACTTTTAAGATAGCTTTTTCATATCTGTATGTTCTTATGGAATGTCTAGTGCTGAATAAGTGAATATAAAACAATTTCCATCTGTATTTGTTCAATCTGTTCAGGTATATTCTTTGACACTTATGGGGAGTATTATGAAGATATGAGAGAGTTTCACCAACATCTTCCAAAATTATTGAAGCCTGGAGGAATATATTCATTCTTTAATGGCCTTTGCGGTGGTAACCCCTTCTTTCATGTTGTTTATTGTCAATTAGTCTCTCTAGAACTTGAGAATTTGGGTTATTCCACTCAGTTGATACCTTTACCCGTGAAGGATTGTTTAGGAGAAGAAATCTGGGAGGGTGTGAAACACAGATATTGGCAATTGGATACATACTACCTTCCTGTTTGTCAATCTATAGAGGATTCTGAGTAATGTCTTTTATTGACATTAACTTTTTCATTTCTGGAATTTGAATGGAGAAACATGTAGCATCAGAAGAGTTATAATAATTATTTTTGAAATTAATTCTGAATATTTTGATTTAGATGGTATGACTTTTCTTTCTCTGTTTTTTTTTTTGTGGGTGTGCGCGTGCGTGTGTACATGGCCTGTGACAAATAATGCTTGATATATATCGTGCTCTTTTGGATTGCTTGCTGCTTGTTTCAAATAAATAACTGTAGTTAAAAACTTGAGAAAGTAGTCACAGCTGATCATCAGTTTGCTGGGACATATAATAAGGACTATCAAATATTAGGAGAATTGGACTCTCTCTCTTCTATTTGCAAAAGCATCCACCAAATTAAGGCCCTGTTTGAGCCTCATTTTATTATTTTTTTAATGAAAAATGAGTTTTATGATAGTATTTTTTGGAGAACCTGTGGTTAAAAGGGGGGGAAAAATTTTGGGTTTACGTGTAAAATTATTTTATTGTAAGAATGTGTGTTGAAAATGAGTTTTCAAAGAATGGGGATCAAACATGAGTTAAATGTGTTCCCATGGGGTAAAATTGAAGAAACAAAAGCTAAATGGTACTGCATGGAGAGGGGGGTACGTTGGTGGGGATCCCCTCATCTGTAGCAAGTGAATGCTAACTGTTTCCCGTGAGTGTATTGGTCCTATATCATGTTAAAACATATTGGATTTGTCTCAATTCCTTGGGAATTTGATTGACTTCAGGAATATCATCCATGAGTCTTTCACAGATATAATTAACATATCAAGAGATATAGGAGGAATGCAAAATCACTATATATTGTAAACCTTCTCAATACTTCATTTTTTGTGTGTTTGTTTGTGTGTTCTCTCTCTCTGTTTTACATTTTTATGGGGGTGGGGTGGGAGTTGTTTAATCTCTTTCATTGAATATTTCCTCATCAGTTGTCTATTAGCTCTATTTGAATATATCTTCAGTTTAAACAGTTGGAGACATTTAATAGAGAATATATAGAATGGTAAAATATGTGCACTTGGGAGTTTAGGGTGCATGATAATGAACTTCCATAATATCTGACTATTATAATCACGACCAACTAAAAGCAATTGGGCTGCCAACAATGTGCTTCCCATCCATCCATTTCAAATAATCGAAGCTGGCTGTGCCTGATGGCATGGAATTTGCGGTGAATGTCACTGTGAAACTTTTCTTCTCATATGGTTTGATGAAAGTGAGCACTTCCGGCTCAACCAGAATCTTCACTGCTTTTGTCTTCTGAGAGACTGAAACTTTATAAGTTGCTGGGTTACCCACGTTTGTTAGGGTCCTTGTGTATTTGACCACCGTTGGTGCACTGCTTCCACCACCTGGGCCTGATGCCGTCTGGAAAGGAACAGAAAAGGATGGGTAGTTAAGATATCCCACTCCATAATCTTTGCCATCCTTGCAGGGATAATCCTGTTTTGTGATTGTTTTGATCATACTGGAACTGTAGTTTATGGCACAAAGAAAGTCTATATAATTGTCCATGTTGGCATCATAGACAAGACCTGGGTCAAGGGCTGATATGGGGTCGACATGTCCGGCGCCATAATCAAATGGTGTTGATGGCAATCCGGTTGCAATATCTTGAATGCCTTGTCCGTTCTTATATGAACTATAAGCTGTGGTCATCAGTGCCGATCTTATTGCTGCAGGACTCCATTCTGGATGGGCAGCCTTGATTAATGCTGCTAATCCACTTGTATGCGGGCATGACATAGAAGTACCAGAAACTATGTTGAAGCCCACATGCCGAGAGTCTTCTTGCAATCCTGTTGGTCCTACTTTTCCCGTCCATCCTGCTAGGATGTTAACACCCGGTGCTATCAGATCAGGCTTAAGTACATCTGGTGTGATTGGGTTTGGGCCTCGGGAACTGAATGATGCTATGACAGGTGATGGTTGGACACCCAGCTGGGTGCTTCCTGTTACAACCGTGGCTGTTGGATGAGGTTCAGTAAATATGTACTTTTTTATGATGTCACCCGTTGTCTGACCAACAGCTGCTGTGGGTATGAGATGTGCATCAGCAACCAGCTCTTCTCCATAGGATTCAGTGTTTGCTAGAATCATCCCAATGCCACCGGCATCTTTTACTACCAAACCCTTCTGTGCCCTTGCATTCAGTCCTCGATCACAGATCACAATTTTCCCCTTGACTTTTACTGGAATCAGACTTCCGGGTAAGCACAGATTACTGTTTGATGTTCTGCTGACATTACCAGCGAACACCAGTGGCATAAAGGAACTGGGTAATGGTTTTCCACTATAGAGTGATGATCCAGGGTATTTTTTCCCATTTCCAAGGCTAATGTATGCTGGAAATTGACGGTCCATAGTTCCAGCACCAACAGTGGTTATCCATGGCGCAACATTTGACAAGCTTGCAGAGATGGGTCCTCCATTTCCAGCCGAACACGAAACAAAGATTCCTTGAGATGTTGCTGCAAATGCTGCAATTGCAATAATGTCTCTGAAGTAATCAGTTACTGAGCCACCTAGGGACAATGATAGTATGTTCACACCATCTTCTATTGCCTTCTCCATAGCCGCTAGTATATCACTGCTGAAACATCCACCAAGCCAGCACACTTTATATGCTGCTAATCTGGCATGTCTCGCCATTCCACGCGCTGTACCTGCAGCATAACCAAATAGGCTTGCTCCAACAACAGTTGATCCAGCTGCTGTGGTTGCTGTGTGTGTTCCATGGCCATCATCATCCCTTGGGGATTTCGATTCCGCTGTCTCATCAATTGGTCCATATGCTGCTTCATACGCTTGTGAGAAAGACCTCGCCCCAATGAGTTTGCGATTACAGCTTGATTTATAAAAGGTCTTGCCTACTTCACACTCGCCCTTCCAGCCACTTGGGACTGGCCCAAGTTCCTTGTCATCAAAACTGCTCAATTCAGGCCAAACACCAGTATCTAACACCCCAATGATAACATCGCTCATCGTGTTAGACTGAGGTACAGCTGCATCGTTGAGAAGTCCAAGGAACTCAGGTGATCTAGTCGTATGAAGTTCATATTGCACTTCTTCTTGGACTGATAGAATCCCCTGTTGCTCTTCTAGCAACCTGGCTTCCTCAGATGTCAGCCTTGCAGAGTAGCCATGGATGACATTATTGTAGGTGTAAAGCATATTGGCAGAGTCCGACACCAATTTTAAAGACGAGTCATACCACTGCAGGTGATCGTCAAAACTTGTAGGCATACTGGACTTGTCCATGTGAATGATGTACGTCTTGTGATGGCGGTTTGTCTCATCTGCGTCAACATATGCACGACAGATGAACAAAAGTGTCAACAAGGAAAGACACTTGAACCTGTTCATCTCCATCTCCGTTCAATCTGAGTTGCAACCACAGAAGTTCTTCACTGACAAATTTGGTTAGTGTTAAGAGAGGTAAGAGACACTGTTGGTTCTCAAGTATTTAAACTTTGGCATATAGATATTGATAATTATTTTTGAGTGGGAGCTCCCATGTAGACACATATATATAGTACTGATTATCGCTTTCTATTAATCCTCAGCCTCTAGAAAATAGACTTTATGTTGAAAATCTGAAAAAGTTGCCATCTATTCAAGATTCCACTATTGATCCCTCAATCAAGCGTTGTGGGTTGAAAAGAATCTTTTTTAAAAAAAAATTATTATTGTATTTGTGGGATAACAAAATCCACTTTATTTTGATTTTATCAAATTAAGGTAACTTTCTGTTGGAAAAGATGGTGTCCAGGTGTCTTTCCTTTACTGAGCAACATGTTTTAATTCTTGTAAATTATAACATGTTCTACCTATTGTCTTAATTTATGGTTCTTTAGTGTTAGAATTGTTAAAAGAGCAAATTATTCATAAACTGAACGAGCAGAAATAAAGGCACTAAAAATGAATTTGAGGACATATTAGAAAGGATAGGAATATTTATCAACCGTCGATTTGAATGGTTGAGATGTCTTGCGTACACTTCATATTCATACGAGTGAGATGATATTTACAAAAGGTGAGAGATCTACAAAGCACGTAATGCCAATTGGAGGCTAACATTTTGAACCAACTCACATTTCACATGGTTTGTATATAATTTTGTTGAAAACCACGTACAACGACTTAACGTGAATGTGGGTATCTCTCTCTCTCTCTCTCTCTCGGCTCTAGTTCTATCCTCGTTACGTCATTGCAGTATATTTACTGTTAAAGTTGATACCAGAAACGAGACTTACTATGTTGCATGTGACCTAATTTACCTTCAAGTTAATTATATTAAGAGGTTCAAATATATTATTATGGGGGTGGCAGTGGATCCGAATTGCTCGTCGATTGGTGAGAACTCAGAATATGAATGGTTCAAGTTCGTTTCACCATGAGTTTTGTGCCGATCAGGCCTTGGATTTCAACCAAGTGAGTCGAGTCGAGTCAAGTCGAGTCGAGTCAAGTCGAACCGAGCTCGACCCTAGACATTGTGGGCTTTGCGAGCTAATCCTATATTTTTAATATTTCTTTAAATTCTATCTTAGAGAAAAAAAAAAAAAATCGCAAATTGGCCCAACTCAACTTGCCAGAGGTAGTGCTCATGATCTGAGAAATACCAGGCTCTTTGATCAACGAGTTGAGCTGAAACTATTCTAAAGGCAAGCTAAACGAACCCACAAGATATGACCATCGTAACCCTTATTATTATTAGGGGAGATTATATTTGTGAATATAATTATTCATTATGGGTGACCACCATATGTCTCCATCGATAATTATAGTCCACTAACGAGTAATGGTTGGACCACTAAACATCACACTCACTGATAAGCCAACGGCATAGAGAGTGATTTCGAATCTCTTCTGCACCATTAATTTGTAAATCTGATAATAAAAGCTTTTTCTAGATCATAAATCATGTAATTCGGTGCATTGGTGAATGATTTTTTTTTTTTTATGTTGAATGGGAAAGGGATTTGTGGCAATTATAATTTAATAATAATTGTGGGTTGGTTAGGCAATTAGCTGGAATGACCCTACCACGAATTATTGCCAATGGACAAGTTTTGTCAAACATATACTTTTACAAAAGAGATTTTTGGTACGATGCATTGTTTATGATTCGACACGTTGAGTAAAGAACAACTTGCTATACATTTCATATCCTCAAATCCCGAGCCTTGCTCGTATATTTTTCTAATCATTCGAGACTTGCATGTTCAACTTTTCTATTTCTTTTCCTCTTTAAACTCACCTCCCTGTATTTCTATATTTGTTTCGTAATTTAGTTGAAAAAGAACTAGATGAACGAACCCTTCTTGTCATTTTGGTTTTATATCAAATATAGATGTACAAGTGCGAGATTATGTCGTACGTGACAGTGCCATGTTAAAGGATTGTGGCTAATCTTTCTTAGAAGGATGACCTAATCTCGGATTAGATACCGATTAGCACTTTGAACTATCTATATAGTTAAGACCATCACAGCTTAGTGAGTTGTAGTTGAAAACGTAGACATACTGCATGATTATATATCAATAGTTTGTGTCGTAAGACAACCGGTAAATTCATGCAAGGAATGCAATCCTTACATTTATTTGGTATTATACGACACGCGTTACAAAGGGTGGTGAGACAGAGAACAATTGGTTGCCTTGTTAGAAAAAAAATAGATATTTGATAGAGTAGTGTTATTCAGCATAATTTGTGAGACTATGTCAGATTGTTAAATACACAAAAATGAATTATAATTATATTATATTGGGGAAAATTGCGGCCGCGGTCTCAAACCTTTCATTTTGTTGCAGATTACACCATAACTTTTAATTTTTGCGGCTGAAGTCCCAAACCTTTAAATGTAATTGCAGCTTCGATCCCAAACCTTTTATGTAATTGCAACGTCTGTCCCCAATCTTTAATTTTTGCAGCCGAAGTCCCAAACATTTGTATGTAATTGCAGCGTCGGTCCCAAATCTTGAATTTCGTCCATAAAACCGTCAGTCAACGTTCAAACAATAATTTTGACTCGAAAAATTTGCAGCTTCGGTCCCAAACCTTTTATTTTGTTGCTAATTACACCAAAACTTTTCATTTTTGCAGTCGAAGTCCCATACCTTTATACGTAATTGCAGCATTGGTCCATTT